CGGCCTCATGTGGCGAGAGTATGCAGGCAGTTCCTGGAGGATGAAGGAATTGATACCATTGAATGGCCCCCACGCTCGCCTGACCTAAATCCAGTAGAACACCTCTGGGACGCCTCAGACTGCCCAGGAGCTCAGTGATGCCCTGGTCCAGATCTGGGAGGAAATACCCCAGGACACCATCCGTCCTCTCATTGGGAGCATGCCCACGACGTTGTCAGGCATGCATACAAACACGTGGGGGCCATACAAACTACTGAGTACCATTTTGAGTTGCTGCAATGAAATTTCAGCAAAATGGACCAGCCTGCTTCATAATTTTTTCACTTTGACTTTCGCGGTGTCTTTGAATTCAGCCTCTGTAGGTTGATCATTTTCATTTTCATCAAACGATGTGGCATCCTTTCGTTCCTAACACATTACCCAGTCCATATCAGTATAGATATCCAGCATGATATTTTTCCCCATTGTGATCTGATGTGTTTTCAAAGTGTTCCTTTAATTTTTTTGAGCAGTGTATATGCACTACCATTCGAAAGTTTGGAATCCCCACATTAGCAATGACACGTTAAAATGATCAAAAGTGACAGTAAAGATGCTTATAATGTTACAAAATATTTATATTTGAAATAAATGCTGTTCTTTTGAATGTTCTGTTCATGAAAATCCTGAAAAAGAACATGCATCACGGTTTCCACAAAATTATGAAGCAGCACAACTGTTTTCAACATTGATAATAACAAGAAATGTTTCTTGATTATTAGCAAATGATTCCAGCAATGTTTTCTGACAGCACAACTGTTTTCAACATTGATAATAACAAGAAATGTTTCTTAAGGAGCAAATCAGCAAATGATTCCAGCAATGTTTTCTGAAAGATCATGTGACACTGAAGACTGGAGTAATGATGCTGAAAATTAAGCTTTGCATCACAGGAATAAATTACACTTTAAAATATATTAGAACAGAAAATAGATTCTGTTATACCAAATACACAAAATAATTATCTTTAAAATAGCATCATATGACCCCTTTAAACTGAAATAATATTTCACAATTTTACAGTATTTTTAATCAAATAAATATAGACTTGGTGAGTATAAAATACTTTTAAAAACATAAAATCTTACTGATCCCAAACTTTTGAACAGTAGTTCATATTACTTAAAATTGTCTTTAAAATATGTATACATCATGGCAGTATTTGTTTTACTGCCATTAAACTATGTCAATTCAAGTAAGAAAAAAACATTTCTATTTTCATACATAATACAGGGGGGGAAAAAAATCTATATTAATGAGAAGTTTTTATTTGTTTTTGACTAAAGTCACACTGAAAACAATATTAAAGGGGTTAAAAATATGTTTTCTAGAAGTATGATATTTATTTGGGGGGAATTAAGTCTGATCATATTTTTGTTACATTCTCCCATGTTTTTATGCTATATTCTTTATTGAATCACATTGCCATTCCCACTGTTAAGTATCTTCGTGTTTCCTTCTTAAACAGGAAGTGCCCTGATGGGTTTGACTGTTTAAAAACAGGTCGGAACCCAAACTACGGCTACACAAGCTTCGACACCTTTGGCTGGGCTTTCCTGGCTCTCTTCAGACTAATGACACAAGACTACTGGGAAAACCTCTACCATCAGGTACCAGCCGTGACACTGAAGGAATAATCATCTGTTATCTAAATATTATTACAAACGTCTTTTCTTCCTCTCCATGCCAGACTTTACGATCAGCAGGGAAGACCTACATGATTTTCTTTGTGCTGGTGATATTTCTGGGTTCGTTCTACCTGGTGAACTTGATCCTGGCTGTCGTGGCCATGGCATATGAGGAGCAAAACCAAGCGACCATCGCAGAGGCCTGGGCAAAAGAAAGAGAGTTTCAGCTGGCAATGGAACAGCTGCGCAAGGAACAGAGAGTAATTTGACAACTATTTTATAACTAGCTGTCTGAAATAAACAAGGTTCATTACCTGAACCTTAACTTCTTGTAGTACTAGATACATTTTTCCTTTCATTTTACGGCACTCTATTCTTAGTGGATAAAATCAAGTAAAATTGATTGCAAACAACATTTCATGTTGATTTTAAAAGCAACTTAAAATACTGAAATGATGCTCCTACATAAAATGTGTTGCGTTACACTGCAAAAATTATGTATGTTATGAGAATATACAATTATTATTCTCATTGCATTTAATTTCAAGTGTAAATTAAGCTCAAGCACATCTGATTTTTCTGTTCTCGTTGGTATTAGGCATTAGCAAAACAGCGCAGAAATGAGGCTGAGATGGCCCTGGCTGCAGATGTATCTCCGTCACCTTTCTCACGGAAAGACTCGGTGAAATGCCGAAGATCCCACCAAACGCTTTCAGAGGAGATGGAGGACAACTTTTTGCCAAAATTTGAACCATTTGATGAAAAAGTAAGTACTATTTCATAACTGTTTTATTTAAATTTGGCTTTAAGGTATACTCAGTCCTTTTTCCAGAATAAAAAAAGAGAACTTGTCTCTAAAACATTTATTAGGAAAAATTACCAAGTGTACCTTTAAATCCCAAAATAAATCAAAATAGATAAAATGATTTTAAAAGCTTATTGTCAAAAGTTTTTTTTTTCTAAAACCTAATAAAAATTGTAATATAAAATATATCAGATTTTCTATAAAAAGTAAAAAATTGTTGCTTCTGTCTTCAATATTTTAGTGTCATTGATATACTATAATAGTTTTCGTTAATATTTTAAATTGTCTTCACTTTAATTTTAAAGTTTTCGCAATTTTGCTGTGTTTTTGTCATTTTTATCAATTTTTATATAGTACTTACTCGTTTTATAAATCTATATAGTATTTTTTTGTTCATTATTTATTTATTTTAATACTTCAGCTCAAACTAAATGAAAATGAGAATTTTACTCGTCAACTAGCTGAAATAAATGTTAAATTTTTTATATTTTATTTGTTATAAAGTTAAGTTTAGTTTAGTTTTAGTTAACGATAATAACCCTCTTGTTAAATGAATGTCTGCTTATCATCTACTCCCTAATCTCTCTTTCAAACTCCTGTCCTCCAGCCAGCTCCCCCTCTCCTAGCCACTCTCTCCTCCCATCCTCTGAGCACCCGTCGAGGAAGCCAGCTCAGTATCTTTGCCTTCCGGCTGCGCAACAGTTCAGACGCTGACTTTGCAGATGACGAACACAGCATCCACGGTGATGGGCGGAGCCGAGCGGGTTCCATGGCGATGCCGTGGAACAAGCGTAGTACGAGCAGCATCAGGAGTCACTCGTCACAGGTGTTCCCGCCCACCCTCACCCTTAACGGCAGACTTAACATTTCCCTGGACCAGAACGGCATCACCAGCATCGGCCCGCACACCCCGACCTCTGTTCCAGCGTTCAGCATGGAGAAGGTCAGGGAGGACACGGTATGGTCTTATCTCATTACAACGTTTTTCCATGAAAAATGGAATTCATGTCATTTACTCACCGTCATGTTCCTGGAATACTATATGTTTGTTCTCCAAAGAACACAAAAAGTAGTTATACTTTTGAAAAGTCTTAAAAAGTCTTTAGCCATTTTCAAAAAACATCTAAAGACACATCTTTTTCGCCATCACCCCCTGACCAATTAATACTAGCACTTACCTTCTATTCTATTCAATTCTATTCTATTGGTCTAATTTATAAAAAAAAACACCTTGCTATGTGCACTGTGCTAGACTAACTGAGACTTGTCATTGCACTTCTATATTGTTGCTCTCTCGTTGGTCTGATTGCTTCTACTTGCTTCTGTTCAAGTCGCTTTGGATAAAAGCGTCTGCTAAATGATTAAATGTAAATGCAAATGTGAATGTATTAAGGAGAACGTCCAGGCAAATCTATCAACTTCCATTTTATGGAAAAGAGTTGAGGATGTGCTACTGGATGGATAAAGTGAGAAAAATGTTGATTAATAATAATAATTTGATAATGAAGCATTTCAATGAAAAAGTTTCAATCCAATTAAAAATTGACTATTTTAATCGTAAAAAGCCTACTGTATTATGTGCACATTTCTAAGGCCTCTAAATGATCAACGATCAAAACTTTGCTGAGAAACCTGTTGTGCGCAATCTACTACACGCCTTCTGTCTTCTAACTGATAGTTCAAACTTTTTTAGATTGTAAAAAGCCTTTTAGTATAATTTTAGTGTTAATCTAAAGATCTCATTGATTTACATTACAAGCAATCAGAATTTCATTGTACTTTTTGATCATATAAATATCAGCAAGTGTTTTTATATTTAATCTAAAGATTCAATAATTTTAAAAAAATTAGATTTTTCTGACTATTATTTCACATATCAGGGTTAACCAATAGAGTGTAAGCTTGTTAAAGTATCGTGCCATTAGTAGCAGCTTTTGAGGAACGTTTCAAATCGGTCACTTTAGTTTGAATACAGCTTTAGAAGGAAGTTACCTACGTAGGTGTTCACAAAGATTTGGAAAAGATTTGACGTTTTGATGTTCACTTTGATTGACAGGAGCCAGTGTGTCAGAATGAGCAGACCACTCCAGCTGCCAAGCTGACTGTCGACGTGCAGGAGGAAGTCCCGCCCCCTTGCAGGAAGAGAGGACTGAGCTCTGTCAGCTTCTTCAGTGACGTCATAGACGGTGTGATGGACTAAAATTGTTTAGAAAAAATAAAAAGACACAAATGCAAGAATTACAAATTACAAATTACACACAAATGAGACAACTGTTGACATGCTGTAAGAGTACAGAACTATAAAATCAACATTGATGAGAAATGATTGAGTTCACACTGAGAATTCTCACTTTTGATTGCTGACATTTGTTCCTAGACAAATCTGAGCACAGTTTGAGACTGTTGAGCTCTCTTCTGAAACTTTTTCACATGAGACAAATAAGGAGAAGCAAAAGTTTCTGATTGTTCTCCATTTAACCTCACGGCTGTCAAGGAGAAATAATTTAACTACTAAAAGATGATTCAAATTTAAAATCATTTAATCTAAAACACCCGAAGTATCAAACATCAGCTCACCTTAATGTCCAGGTTTCTTCTCGGTTACTCATTTAATGATTTTCATTTCTCCTCTTAGAACTTGAAGAGACCCATCAGAAATGTCCTCCATGCTGGTATGAATTTGCGAAGAAGTACCTGATTTGGACATGTTCTCCTGCCTGGCTGAGAGTGAAGGAAGGGCTTAAAGTCATGGTGATGGACCCTTTCCTGGACCTTGCAATCACCATTTGCATTGTTCTCAACACATTGTTCATGGCGCTAGAGCACTATCCCATGACTGATGAATTCAACAGCATGCTGAGTGTTGGAAACCTGGTGAGGACAAACAGTGGCGCTCTCCAAAACTGTGTTTGAGCATCTCAAACAGCCCTGTTTCTTTGCTTCTTTAATATTAATGTAAAGTTTTGTTCTTGCTTACCAGGTGTTCACTGGAATCTTCACGGCAGAGATGGTGCTGAAGATCTTTGCTCTGGATCCATACTATTACTTTCAGCAAGGCTGGAGCATCTTTGATGGAATTATTGTTTGTTTGAGTCTGATGGAGTTGGGCCTTTCCAACGTGGAGGGTCTATCGGTCCTCCGCTCGTTCAGACTGGTAAGTTTCAACTCTACTTGGAAATAGACATAGTAAATTCACTAGAATGGACACTGAGGATTGCCACATGTGCAATATATGAGAAATGCCATATAGAGACATGAATGTCTTTGAGTGAGTCATTGAATCAGAGTTTTGAATCAGTTAACTGAAGCAGTGTGTTTGAACTGTTTCACAGAAATGAGCGCCATTTTTGTTAAAATGCACTCACGTATTCACAAATCCCAAGACAAGGATTGTAAAACTAAATGTCATTATGGCCAACAACAACAACAACAAAAAATCATTAATCACAATATTCAAAATAGTTCATTTTGGCAGCAAAAGTTATTAGTGTGTATCATTCAGAGAGGACCGTTTTGAAAAACATTTTAAAAAGTAGATTTAAACAATTCAGTATTGCATTATCACCAAAAAAAGGACATAAACACACTCAATGAAATTGAAACTTACCTCTTAAACTGACATCAATGTTTGTATCTGTAGTATGTAATTAGGAGGCATTAGTATAGACACTCCATCAAAGTTTTAAATATCAACACATCAGTATTTATGTGATGTAAAACGCAGTTTGCGTGACAAACGCGGCACGCACAGTCCATCTGACCCCTTTGAACTCGAGTGTCTTGCTATTCATTATCAGATTAAAGCTGCACAGAGCTTTTAACATCCTTTTATATTACGATAAATACTGTTGTTAAGTAGCACTGTGCGTGTACGTTAAAAATGACTTTTTTCATAGCTTCACCCACATGTGCATATTTGGCCGAGCAGTAATCCTTTATATTGTTTGTTTGAGTCTGATGGAGTTGGGCCTTTCCAACGTGGAGGGTCTATCGGTCCTCCGCTCGTTCAGACTGGTAAGTTTCAACTCTACTTGGAAATAGACATAGTAAATTCACTAGAATGGACACTGAGGATTGCCACATGTGCAATATATGAGAAATGCCATATAGAGACATGAATGTCTTTGAGTGAGTCATTGAATCAGAGTTTTGAATCAGTTAACTGAAGCAGTGTGTTTGAACTGTTTCACAGAAATGAGCGCCATTTTTGTTAAAATGCACTCACGTATTCACAAATCCCAAGACAAGGATTGTAAAACTAAATGTCATTATGGCCAACAACAACAACAACAAAAAATCATTAATCACAATATTCAAAATAGTTCATTTTGGCAGCAAAAGTTATTAGTGTGTATCATTCAGAGAGGACCGTTTTGAAAAACATTTTAAAAAGTAGATTTAAACAATTCAGTATTGCATTATCACCAAAAAAAGGACATAAACACACTCAATGAAATTGAAACTTACCTCTTAAACTGACATCAATGTTTGTATCTGTAGTATGTAATTAGGAGGCATTAGTATAGACACTCCATCAAAGTTTTAAATATCAACACATCAGTATTTATGTGATGTAAAACGCAGTTTGCGTGACAAACGCGGCACGCACAGTCCATCTGACCCCTTTGAACTCGAGTGTCTTGCTATTCATTATCAGATTAAAGCTGCACAGAGCTTTTAACATCCTTTTATATTGCGATAAATACTGTTGTTAAGTAGCACTGTGCGTGTACGTTAAAAATGATTTTTTTCATAACTTCACCCACATGTGCATATTTGGCCGAGCAGTAATCCTTTATCCATTACTGAGATTAAATATGTTGGAGTTGACATCTCAAAAAGTGGGCTACACTTTCTTTTAGTTCAACATCAGTCACATTACAAACTGAATACAGGCCATGCTTTAGCTAAAATAAAATGAGAATTTACATGAGAAACAGTGACATCAGCTGAAAACAAAGAATAGTTTTGGTGTCAAATTACATGACTGATCAAAAATGTACTCGCCCTCAGGCCATCCAAGATGTATGCCTGTTTGTTTCTTCATCTGAACAGATTTGGAGAAATTTAGCTTTACATCACTTGCTCACCAATGGATCCTCTGAGGTGAATGGGTGCCGTCAAAATGAGAGTACAAACAGCTCATAAAAACATCACAATAATCCACAAGTAATCCAAAAACTTGTGTCCACCAGTCAACATTTTGTGAGGTGAAAAGCTGTTTGTAAGAAACAACCGTTTCTTCCGGCTAAAATACGAGAGCTCTATCCATAATAATGCTTCCTCCAGTGAAAAAGTTGTCTCGTCTGATCCAGGAAAGAAATATGCACAGATCACGTAGTGTTTACAAGTGAAAACAGTCCCAAACAATTCTAAACAATTAATTCGGTGGATTTCGATGTGAGAGAGAACATCTGGATGAAGCATTATTATGGATTATTGTGTATTTTGCCCAGAAATGACGGATTGAAGTTAAAACACTTTAATGATGAATTAGTTTCTTACAAACATGCAGCTTTTCACATCACAAGATGTGGATTATTGTGAAGTTTTTATCAACTGTTTGGACTCTCATTCTGGCGGCACCCATTCACTGCAGAGGATCCATTGGTGAGCAAGTGATGGAATGCTACATTTCTCCAAATCTGTTCTGATGAAGAAACAAACTCATCTACATCTTGGATGTCCTGAGGGTGAATACATCAACAAATTTTCTTTTTGGGTGAACTATTCCTTTAAGAAAGTAAATAGGATCAATTTTGATTTCATGTTGATAAAATATCAATACTGAATGAAACATATTCTGTATTTTGTCCTCAGCTGAGAGTTTTTAAACTAGCAAAGTCATGGCCCACCCTCAACACACTGATAAAGATCATCGGTAACTCTGTGGGTGCCTTGGGAAACCTGACACTGGTCTTAGCCATCATCGTCTTCATCTTCGCTGTGGTGGGCATGCAGCTGTTTGGAAAGAACTATCAGGACTGCGTGTGTAAGATCAGCTACGACTGCACCCTTCCTCGCTGGCACATGAAGGACTTCTTCCACTCGTTCCTCATCGTGTTCAGGGTCTTGTGCGGAGAGTGGATCGAGACCATGTGGGACTGTATGGAGGTGGCCGGACAGCCGCTTTGCATTCTGGTCTTCATGCTGGTCATGGTCATAGGAAACCTAGTGGTAAGTATGATTTCTTCTCACATAATAAAATAATCTCATATCAATATTCCATGTCAATTCATTGATTTATTTATAAAATAAATGATTTATATGGTAATACCATAAATAATTTAGAATTTGCAACAGTGGCCAGCTGACTGTTCATTAACCCTTACATATTCTGTTAAATAGGCTACTATAAATAAAAATAATATGTAAGCAGCTTTGCATCTTGAAATATTAAACTGCCATAAATATGTATGTCAGTTTGTATTCCTTGTGCATCTCTCAATTGTCAAATCGTTTTTGGATGCCTGGTTTATCATTCTTTGCATTTCAATATATTTTGAAGATAAACCATCATACCCTAAGAAAAATCTCAGACTGTGAGGATACACAAGATGGAATTAGAGAAATATTACTTAATTCTCCCAGATGTTCTTCTATGATCCAGTTGTGACCAGAAAATACCTCTAAGAAGAGTAACTGAAGGTCTTTTCCCGGAAAATGAGATGCCACTAAGCTTTCCTTCCTAAGTTTTCCTGTTTTGACATGACGACTGTCCTAAAAGTAGACATGATGTCATGTTAGCAATTTTGTTCTATAAAGTGACAAGTGCAATTATATTCAATCTACTTTCAAAATAGTTTGACAACATGCACAAACATGAAAATTCTTTGCTCAAAATGCATGTGAATCATGGTTGACATTTACCATCATACTGTATATATAGATTTCCAAATGTATTTGGCAGATTGTAAACATTAAATAAATGAACCCTCAGGGTAGACGCCATATTTAGGCTGACGCAAAGGAAAATAAGTAAGTGAAGGATAGAAATGTTTGGGTTAATTGGTTATACAGTTGTTTTTGCACTAGAATACTTTTCAGAAAGACTTTCTCTATACTTTTGTCAGCTATATGATTGATACCAAGGTACACAACAGTACAACCAGAACATACTGTACAGTCATGAATTCATTAGCGTCAAATGATAGCATGTACCCTGACTAAGGTCCTTTCCAAGAAAATAAATCAGCAAATTTTAGCTTTAACCTCCATATTTTACCCCAAACTTAAGTCCCCTGTTGTGTGTTGCTTAGAGGAATAGGTCCACAGGCTTGTGCGTAAGTACACTTAAGTATACACTATTATACTCTTCTGGCTTTTCCAACTCATAACTGGCAACTTGTGTACGTTGTAATACACAGCAGAAACAGCTGTTTGTCACTGGTAATTGAACTAGGGTGCTTTTTAAAGCCGGATAGAGGGGCAGACATTGCAGACAGCATGGACTAGATTTGGTTCTTTCTGAAATACTAGACAAAAAAAGTGTCTGATCTGTGAGAGAAGTCCTTTATGTACTGTCTATTTGTACTGTCTGTTTTTGTACTATACTATATGTACTGTCTGTTTTTGGTGCTTGTTTAATTTTAAGCACAAACCATAATTCATCAAACATCAATGTACAAAGTATAACCTTAAATCTAAACTGGGCCTTATACAAATAGTTGACCCAGAACATATTTATTTACTCACCTTCATGTCATTCCAAAGATGGATCACAGTATGGTCGACTAGTTGACCAACAACCGATTAATGAGGTCGATTAGTTGTGGATATGAGTTTGAAGTCTGAACTGAATATATCAAGAAAAAAGGCGGGCTGCACGTGACCAGTACAGTCCGATTTACGAACAAATGACTCGTATGAATCGGTTCTTGCAATGACTCGTTCAAAAAACACACGGGTTACCGTTTTGAATCGAATTCACTTATGGCTCACTAAATCGGTCATGGCTGTAACTGAATCAACATCTGTCTCATTTCCCGCATTCAATAATGTAGCTATTTTAGATAATTACTGTCGGACTTCGAATCACCTATCGTGAGCAATGTTCCGTTATGATTAATCTACACATTTATTCTTGGGGTTTTGTGGGGAGATTTTACCAGTAACGACTAAATGCGTAGCGGGAATCGCGCAGTTGGTTCATTCTGTGTGAGAAATGCGCATTGAGTTAGTGCCACACAGATTCTGAGCACTTATTAAATGGTTTTGTATAGTAAAAAGGTTATAAATATTTTCACTATCAATTTGTTTAGTTTTGGTTAGTTACCCTATTGAAAGGATGCGATTAGTGTCCTGTCTTCACTATTTTAACACGTGGTTTAAATCTTAGAAGCATCGACTCTTACAACGATTACACCAATCAGATGCAAGTTCGATGACCTCAACAACGGTAAAATTGATGTATAAATTTTAGATTCTGACTTTATGTCAAACAGATATTGATTAGTATTAAACATATTTATTTTATTACATTAGGTTAGGCCTATAGTTTTTACATATTTTGTAAACAATAGCTCATAGTGACCACTTCTATCAAGCTTAACAGGAATCTGACTGTTATCACTTGACTTCCTGTGGGCCTTCCATGTCAAACCCTCTGTAACACAGTCCATCTCCTTCTTTCTTGGCACAAGTCAGTTTGGGATTATCTTTGCTGTCTAGTGTGATTAAAGGTAAGAGTGCAACTAATCAGGTTTCCATGACAACCCACAAAGT